GTGTTGTAAATTGTGGTTTTTGTGAGAGAGATTTGGTGTGTATTTATAGAGATATATAACAGAGGGAATTGATTTGGAGTAGAATTGCTTTCACGTTGACAGAAAACATGGCATTGTCGTGTTCAGATGGAAAGGTGGCTTCTATTTGGATGGTGCTATCCGTAGACCTATTTTTACTTCTCACGCATATTTTCAATTTTTTATCATTAGATCGAATAAATTGAAATAAATAAATGGACAAAAATTAACAAAAGTGTATGAGAAGTAAAAAGAAATGTGTGAATAGCACTACCTTTTATTTTTAGAAGGGGTGGGCTTCATTTCTAATCCAAGTTTTGAAAATTAATGTTGTTGATTTCTGTACTCCCAATATTAAGGATACATATCCTTAAAGAATATTGAATAAAGGGACACAAACAAGAAAAAATAGTGACGAGATTGTTGTGCATCTTATATACATAAATCGTATCAAGATACACATGGAGCTAGTTCAATTGGTCATGACAGTCTTCCAATCTATTTCTATTCAAACTCTAATTCTCTTCTCTGTGAATTAGAATATTGCATTGTCAACAAAATCATATCATAATGTATGGTATTATGTCCTCCTTATATAGGCCCTCAACGAGCCCTCAGTTCGCCTGCTCAAACCTCTTTTTTCCTTTGCATTTAATGCGTCGATTACATAGATTTGACTTGCTAGTTGTTCCTCTACCCCTTGGCCGGCACGTGGTGACGAAGTGACATTTGTGCATGTCTACTTGCATGCTTTCTTGGGACAACATATGCCAAGCACCACTCTGGAGGTGGTGGAAGCCCGCACATGAGCACCCTATATGTCAACCTTTATGTCCTTTCATAGTTTTCTATTCCCTCGGATGGCTGCCACACAGGCCCGACCTAGGCCCAGTGCAGGCAGGGCGACCGTCCAGGGCCCAAAAAAATTGGGGGCAACAAAATTATTAGGGTGATATATTTATATATGTTTTTATAAGAGTATAAATTTATAAAATTTGGTTTAGTGACAAAGAAATTTAATTAGAACTGGTGGTTTTATTGTTTCAAATGAATGAAGAGGTCTTAGGTTCAAATTATCATGTGTGCTTATTTACATTCTAATTTTTATAAATTTCTTTTCATAACAATATAAAATTATAAAATTTGGCTAAATAATCAAGAAGTTTAATTAGAAGCAATGGTTATTGTTGTTTAAAATTAACGAGAGATCCTAAATTCGAAATGCTATGTGCATGTTTATTTTTTTCAATTTTTACAAATTTTGTTTGGTTGTTAATTTATTTACTAGCTAGTAGCTATGTGAGTTGCTATTTTTAAATATCGATTCCAATTCAAGTCTAATCTTTAGCCAAAAATAATGCGTAGACTAAATTTTTAGACCAAATTTGCAAATAATATTACGTTTCATAAAAAAGTTTAATTTAGTGTTCATTCATTACTTATAGTCTTATATTGACGAGGTTAGTAAATAAGAAAGAACAACTCACGATTTATACAAAAACACTTTAAAAGTTCAAATGGAAAACAAAACTCATATTCTATCTACTTGAAAGCCCGAAGTTTTTTAGTTCCCTTCTCGTGATACAAAATAAATTAATTATTCCGTATTTCTAAATTATTGAGTTTGAAGTGTTTTTCTAAATATAATTTTATCGATGTTTTACGTGTGAAAATAAATATTTTTTTTTATATGAAATGAGGGCACACTTTTTGACTTCGCTCCGAGCCTTAAAAATCTCTGGACCGGCCCTGCTGCCACGTGACCTAGAGGTGATGTCTGAGCAGGCTTGCCCCTCTGTTATTGGGGATTTGGATCCTCGTCGAATCCCCTCCTTGGGATCCTAGGGATCAACGAACACGGACCGTTGATCAAAAATCGTGCGACCACAATTTATTTCTTTTTTATATTTTTCACGCAAAACGATGGTTCTTTACTTTTCAAAATATAAACAAGCATTTAATTAGGACCGCATGATTTTTTATCAACGGTCCATGTTCGTTGATCCCTAGGATCACCAAGGAGGGAAGGGAATCTAGCGAGCATCCAAATCCTGTTCTTGGGATCTCGTGCGAAAGAATTGTCAGAACACCAACTTGCATCTTGGCAGTTAGAAAATACTTTTATAGGGAAGCGCTCAGCCTAGTTATTGATATGTAATCTAGACTGTCTTGTGTTGACTCCCATAGCACTCCAGGTCGTCTTCCCAGCCTCATCGGGCTTGGCCTTCCTTTGGGCCTGTGCTGCTTTGGGCTGGTGTTTCTTTAGGCCCCTTGAGGTCGGAAATGACCTTAATCCTTCCTTTCTTTCTCACTTGATTATTTCACTGTTGAATAGAAAGTGAGCTAAAGTTTGATAACCGACACCCGATCAGAATAAGAAAATCTTTCCTTTTTGAACTATGCCAACCACATGTAGGTGTAATTTCACATCTAGGTAGACCTTTAGTTTTAAGACCTAGCTAAGCAGAAAAATTAGAACAAGATGAGACTATAAGATAACTTTTCTTAGGGACCAAAATTGTTTGAACTTTGACTCAATTTACCAGTCTTAGAGTTAGTAGTGCACTACCTTTTATTTTTAGAAAGGGTGGGCTTTATTTCTAATCCAAGTTTTGAAAATTACTGTTGTTGAATTTCTGTACTCCCAAGATTAAGGATACACATCCTTAAAGAATATTGAATAAAGGGACATAAACAAGAAAAAATAGTGATGAGATTGTTGTGCATCTTATATACATAAATCATTTCAAGATACATATGGAGCCAGTTCAATTGGTCATGACAGTCTTCCAATCTATTTCTATTCAAACTCTAATTCTCTTCTCTGTAAATTAGAATATTGCATTGTCAACAAAATCATATCAGAATATACAGTATTATGTCCTCCTTATATAGGCCCTTAATGAGCCCTCAATTCCCCTGCTCAAACCTCTTTTTTCCTTTGCATTTAATGCGTTGATTACATAGATTTGACTTGCTAGTTTTCCTCTACCCTTTGGCCGCCACGTGGTGACGAAGTGACATTTGTGCATGTCTACTTGCATGCTTTCTTGGGACAACATAAGCCAAGCACCGCTCTGGAGGTGGTGGAAGCCCACACGTGAGCGCCCTATATGTCAGCCCTTTTATGCTTTCATAGGTTTCTATTCCCTCGGATGGCTGCCACGTGACCTAGAGGTGATGTCTGAGCAGGCTTGCCCCTCTGTTCTTTGGGATTTGGATCCTTGCCGAATCCCCTCCTTGGGAATCCTAGGGATTAACGAACACAGACCATTAAACAAAAATCATGCGGCCACAATTTTTTTCTTTTTTATATTTTTCACGAAAAACGATGGTGCTTTACTTTTAAAAATATAAAAATCATTTAATTGGGACCGCACGATTTTTTATCAACGGTCCGTATTCGTTCATCCCTAAGATCCCCAGGGTGGGAATCCGTACAGGACAAGGATTGTCTGCCCTTCCACTTCCGGTGCCCTCCTGTTTTGTGTGGTCACGGTTAAACCATATCAACATTTTATATTATTTTTTTTATAGAGATAATAAGACAAAAATGAATAGTAATATAAAATGTTGGTGTGACTTGACCGTGACCACACAAACATGAAGGTACCGAAAGTGGGAGGGCAGGCAATCCTTAGCATCCAAATCCTGTTCTTAGGACCTCATACGAAAGAATTGTCAGAACACCAACTTGCATCTTGGCAGTCGGAAAATACTTTTATAGGGAAGCGCTCAGCCTAGTTATTGATATGTAATCTGGATTGTCGTGTGTTGACTCTCATAGCGCTCCGAATTGTCTTCCCAGCCTCATCGAGCCTGGCCTTCCTTTGGGCCTGTGCTGCTTTGGGTTGGTGTTTCTTTGGGCCCCTTGAGGTCGGAAAGGACCCCGCATTGATCCTTCCTTTCTTTCTCGCTTGATTATTTCACTGTTGAATAGAAAGTAAGCTTACGTTTGATAACCGACACTTGATCAAAATAAGAAAATCTTTCCTTTTTGAATTATGCTAACCACTTGTAGGTGTAATTTCAACATCTAGGTAGACCTTTAGTTTTAGACCTAGCTAAGCAGAAAAATTAGAACAAGATGAGACTATAAGATAACTTGTCTTAGGGACCAAAATTGTTTGAACTTTGACTCAACTTACCAGTCTTAGAGTTAGTAGTGCACAAGATAATCATACCTTTCTTTCTAACTTGATTATTTCACTGTTTAATAGAAAGTAAACCAGTTTACGTTTGCTAACCAACACCGATCAGAATAAGAAAATCTTTCCTTTTGAACTATGCCAACCACATGTAGGTATAATTTTACACTACTTTTATGATTCTTCTTGTGCACAGCTTATGAAATTTCCCACCCACGTTTATCTTCAGTTTGGGCTGGCTTCCCTGAGAGGACTCGTGAAGGGAACAAGTTTATTGTGGCAGAGAAACCGTTAAAGCAGACAAGACGAAGTTTTTTGTGCAGAAACAGCAGATTCCGTCATTGAAGAGCGAAAATGCAGAAAAGAATTTGCTGCTAATGGTTTCTTTGATGAGAGTGGAAATGAAAATTCATCTTTTAACCTTTTAGATGGATTGTTTGCTGATGTAAGAATATAATATCTTTGACATCATATAAGCTGAAAATCGTTTAGATTGGTAGTACACACCTCAACTGTTGTAAACGAAAAAGAAGGAACAGTTTATGAGTTTTATGTATCATCGGAAGCGTGCATAAGATCCAGTTTCATAGATTAAATTGTTAGTGGTATTGATTTTGTTTCAATTAGTATGACGAAGGATAGAAACTATTACAAGGTTTCCTTGGTTCATGCAAGAAAGTTCTACATAATTGTTTTACTTTTCACTTGTCGATCTTATCAGTCAGTTTTGCAATTTTGTTGTTAATTTTTACGCCCGAATTTTATCCAAGGGTATAAAAGATTGTTCCTTTCCTATTAAGATCAAGTTTTAATTTATAAATTGAAAGTTTAGCACACGGTAAAAACTTGCTACATTCATTCCAAAGAGAGAAGGAAAAAGGATTAATCAAACTTAGGCAAACTACTAAACAAACAATATGAAAACCATAAACTTGCGTGAGCACACTTTTACTATATTTACCACTTGAGTCTTGTGGATCAAGTAATAGTTCAAGAGCTTCGGAAGCCACCGACTCCTAATCCTGTGACGAATCAGAACTTGATGACGGGTACCCAATTCCATGGCGTTTATTAGTTATATTTACCACTTTGAGTCTTGTGAATCAAGTCATACTTCAAGAGCTTAGGAAGCTGCCGACTCCGAATCCTGTGAAGAATCAGAACTTGACGACGGGTACCCAATTCCATGGCGTTTATTAGGGAACACAGAGAAAACAGTTCCGGCAATTGCACCTATAACCGGAGGCAACACCTGTAGCAAAATCTTCTCGGTGGACTCAAACCCTGGATAATAGCACCTGACAGTGTTGGCATCCAAAAGTGATAAAACTGCAAACACAATCAAGGAAAGGAAGGCATGCACAAAGTCCCCAAACCTAAGCTTGTACGCAGACAAGTCCACAGTGTTAGAACTTGTCGAGGGCCAAAGCCCCTTGCTTGTTACCACCCCATAGTGTGTTTGTCCATCACTGCCTGTGTAACTGTCTGTGAAGCAAGAAAAACAGCAGGAGAAGCCGCAAACACCGATGAGAATGGCGCTTAGATATTTGTTGACAGCGGTGCATTTGCCGTTGTTGGTCAAGACAGGGTTGAGGAACTGGAACAAGAAGACCGTGCCAGTTGGGAGGAGCTTGATGAGGTTGCCTGCGCATGTTAATGTTGTGTCTTTGATGGTTTTGTTTTTGGTTGTGGTTGTCTTGGATTTAGAGGAAGAGCTAGTAGAGCCCCCCATTTTTCGAATTAAGGTATGTTTTGACGGAGTTTATAGAAATGATATTTGTGAATTGAGTCGTAATTTGTGGTTTTTGTGATAGGGCGATTTGGTGTGTATTTATAGAGAAATATAAGAGATGGCATTGGTTTGGAGAGGAATTGCTTTCACGTTAACTGAAAATATGGCGTTGTCGTGTTGAGATGGAAAAGGTGGCTTTTACTTTTAGAAAGGGCGGGCTTCATTTCTAATCCAAGTTTTGAGGATTAATGTTGTTGAATTTTAGCCCTTTAGTATTACGATCTAATGATATTCCTATTCATTTATATGTGAGAGGTCTTAGGTTCGATTCTGGCCAAATGTAAATTTGAATCACATAGCTAACCCATTGTGAGGCTTAGCCCATTCCCCTTCCCTTAGTGTTGGTAATATTGCTCAAAATTGTAAAGTTAACAAACTTAATTAAATGATTGTAGTTGGGATCAGGAGATGGGCTGAAATTAAATGGATACAAAGATGCAAGTGGTTCACCCATCAAAACTGGGCTACATCCACCGTGTTGCTCTCAATATATTGATTTCAAGGCTAAATAGCACTCGGCTAATACATTCACTCTATTATCTCTAATTCGTCTGACCTCGATATTGTAGGTCTTTACCCCTTTATTTTGGCCTCTCCCTCTTTGGGCCTCTCAAATCGGCATTTAATGTGTCAACCACTTGCACTAGCTTACTAACACCTTTCTCCCTATTCGGCCAGACCCTTGTCAACGAAGTGACGTTTTAGTAGTCGGGGTGGCGCACCTTTTAAGGTTCATGCGGCTCAAGCATCCCGCTCGGACCTCGGTTACTCCGCCTAGCCTTGCCGAGCACTGTCTCACTATGCTTATGTCTCATCCTAGGCCTCTATTGTCAACTGCAAGTCGTCGTATGGTTTGATTGGCACATGAATTGTTTTGCCCTTGGAGACTTGTGTCATAAAGCTATCAGCTTGCCTATGTGTTCCACGCAGTCAGGTAGTTCTTCTTTTGTCTTGGTTAGCCTAAGTACTCGGGTCAACCCTCTTCGAACCCTTTGGGCCTTGGGCTTATGCAGTTGGGTAGGCCTAAATGGGCATAGGGTTAACATGAATAAATCATCAACAAGATAAATGAGTGATTAGATTGTTGTGCAATCTTATATACGTAAATCATATCAAAATACATACGAAGTTGGGTCACAGTTGGCTAGGACAGTCTACCCACCCACTACTCAAACTCAAATTCTCTTCTTGTAAATGAGGTCCCCCCACCCCCCACCCACACCCCCCCCCCCCCCAACCCCCCCCAAAAAAAAAAAAAACTTATAAGGAGCTCCCACTTTCGTCTCAAAACTTTAATTTTAGGCGATTACCTTTATGAACTTTTATAATTGGACAATTCCCCCTAAACTTTAATTTTAGTTGATTATCCCTTGAACTTTATAATTGGCAATTTCCCTCCTAAACCCTAAACTTCAAACAAAAAATATACAGAGTGAACTAATGGAAGAGAAGAAGAAATAACAATATATTGTCCACATTGAGGATAAAATTACCATTTTACAGTTATAAAATTAAAGCTCATAGGGAAATAGACGTATAGGGGCATAATCGGCTAAAACTAAAGTTTAGGGGAGCTAATTGGTTAAAATTAAAATTCAGGAGAAATTGATATCTCCCTACAAGTTTAGAGATGGTGTGATATCCCACATCGCCCAGGGGAGTGATCCTTAATTGTATATTCACATCCCTACCTAGCACGAGGCCTTTTGGGAGCTCACTGGCTTCGGGTTCCATGGGAACTCCGAAGTTAAGCGAGTAGCGCACGAGAGCGCTCGCAGGATGGGTGACTCATTGGAAAGATCTCATGTGAGTTCCCAGAAACAAAACCGTGAGAGCATGGTCGGGGCCCAAAGCCGACAATATTGTGCTACGGTGGTGGAGCGGGCCCGGGAAGTGGTCCCCCCTAGGTCGGGATGTGACAATTTGGTATCAGAGCCTAACCTTGGTTACGTGTGTGCCGACGAGGACGTCGGGCCCCTAAGGGGGGTGGATTGTGACATCTCATATCGCGCAGGGGAGTGATCCTTAAATGTATATTCTCATCCCTACCTAGCACGAGACCTTTTGGGAGCTCACTGGCTTCGGGTTCCATGGGAACTCCGAAGTTAAGCGAGTAGCGCACAAGAGCACTCCTAGGATAGGTGATCAATTGGGAAGTTCTCGTGTAAGTTCCCAAAAACAAAACCGTAAGGGCATGGTCGGGGCCCAAAGCGGACAATATCGTGCTACGGTGATGGAGCGGGCCCGGAAAGTGATCCCCCCGGACCGGGATGTGACAGATTGAGGAGGGAAATTTGACAAATACCACCTTGTAAATTATAATATTGCATTGTGCCATTGTCAAAGAATCATATCTAGTATTATGTCAACGATCTTATAAAGATCTGTATCGTTTTCTTTTGGGAGTTTTAACGAAAAGTCCACGGTACTGTTCACTTTAACGAAAAACCACATTTTTACACTAAAAAGTCAATCCGAGTACTATTCACTTTACACTTTATTTTGTCCTTATTATTAAAACTCAAAGTTTTCAAGCCATTTTCATTAGTTTTCCTTTTTTCTTTTTAAAACAAAACTTATTTTCGTTTTTTTTATAGTTATTTAACTTATTTTTAGCAAAAACTTGTACGTAAACTTTGTTTGAAAAAGAATACTCGACTTGTAGGAGCTTAAACAGTGATAAGAGCTTAACCAACGTGAAATGCATGGAGGCCAAGTGCATTTCCCAGTATAAAATAGTTTGATTTCTTTTTTTCTTCTCATCATTTTGATCTTAATTATCACATAAATAATTAAAAAAACTATCGTATATGCGGAATGCATGTATTGAGGTCACCTTATACATGTTATAGTTTGAGTGAATAATAACGTTATGTCATAGTATTCTGTGATGTGAAAACTTACTCGTACAATATGTGTATATTAAATATGTTTAATGCGTGTAGGATATGAGCATAATGGTCATTACCTTAGGATCTGTAACAAGCGTGTGTTTATAGGGTAGGCTATTTTTGGGTTCGAAGTAGGCTAATTTTATCAAAGAAAAATGGACTAATATTGAATTAGACAACTCTAGCATATAAAACTATATGCAATTTTGTAAAATTCCAAAATTAGCCCGGAGCTACGGCTACCGAGTCCGGCCCCGATTTGCAATATAATTCAGTCATTGTCTTAAGAGTAAGTATATAATCTTCTATATATTAAGAGAGCTCCTAAATCCACCACATTGTCTTATTTCCCTACTCACGTTATATTTACATCCATTATAAAAAGTTAAAAAATTAAAATATTATTTTCCCACACACTATTATTCTTAAAATAACCCTATATATAATTAGAGATAAATTTCTCTTAACAATATACATATAAACAAACCTTCTAAAAACCGGAAAAAAAAAAAAAAAAAACCCGGTTTCCTTTCCAAATTCGAATTTGAGTGTACTTTTTGAGATGCATAGCAATTCGCATTGTCATTGACGTATGGTATTTTCTAGCTCCTCAGCATCAATTAATTTATCTATCCGCTATTTTCAACTTTAACCATGTGGATGCTGTATCCTAAGTATTTGATAAACTCAATGCATTTTCGGTCCTCTCCGAGGCATAGAATTTCTCAAATGCATTTTCGGTCTTCTCATATTTATTAGCAAGATTCTAAAAGGCTAGTCGGGCGGCGGCCCTATCCGTCTAGGCAGAGCCTAGGTGGTTTTTTTTAATTTTAATTAAATTTATTACATGACATATAAATAAATGTCTATTTATATTTTAAAAAATATATAATTATACTGGAATACATAAATTGCAAAATAGAATGACATATAAATTATAAAGTATTAAAATATATTGAAATATGAGAACACACATATGATGAGTGTTCATCCAAGTATTCAACAAGTCTCGTACAATTTAATAAAAAATAAAATACAAAAAGAAAGTCATATATTTTTTGTCGAAATGAGAGTGTGACCTAGGCAGGTGCCTAGGCGGATGCGTAGACAGGTAGAAGCATCATTTCTTAATTTTATTGTTTAACAATTAATCGGAATGATAGCTAGCCACTTAATGCTCGAAAAGAACCTAGGCAGCATTAGGTAAGAATTTTTAGAACATTATTTATAAGAAAGATAATCAAGTCGCTGGTGCTGTTGCTGTTGCAAATCTTGGCACTTCTTCTAATATTGGTTTTGTTTAATGGGACCCTCCTGTGCTTTCATTTTTGGGTATGCCATGTCATATTAGTAATACAGAAATACCCAAAGACGATCCACTTTTTAACGAACTCTTATCAACAAATTAAAACCCATGCATGAACCTTATTAAGAGATTAATTTGATTGATCATCAATGACCTCTAATCATGATCCAGGTGCAATATTGAGATCCAATAAACAATCAAGAATAATGCTAGGTAGACTATATTTTAAACTAAATTTATAAATCATATGATGTGTCACCAAAGAAATAAGCACGTTAATCAACATTTAAATAAGAATTCAATCATCAACAACCACATTATATAGTTTACAAAATTTGGTCTAAAAAAATTAGTCTCCCAAACTTACCCAACAATTAATATTTGGATTCTAATGCATGGGTTCAAATCGTTTGTTTTACGTGACTCAATTAAATCAAAAATGTTATTTTTACCATATTTTTATACCACATTTGTATCATCTCTCTAATAACGATGAGATTCAGATATGTTGGCGGGTCATACCTCCATTAGAGAGATAGTACAAATGTGATATGAAAAATATCATAAGTGTAAACTAATAAATACCAAGGTTCTAAAAAACGTTAGGCACTAATCGGGCGGTAGACTAAGGCCTAACGCCTAGGCAAAAGGTGAACTGGGCGGATTTTATTCAATTTTACTATATATTATATAAATAAACATCAAATAATACTTATATTTTTTTTTAAGGAAATAACACAATATTTATATCATGTGAGAGTTTAACTTAAATTAGTGAATATGGTGGAGTCTTAAAATAGAAAACAGAAGAAAGAAGGAAGATAAA